TAAACTTAAATTAAATTATAATTGAAAAATTGAATTAAAGAAATTACAAAAAAAAAAAAACTTCTAAATAGTTAATTTGATACTAATGTTGATATATTTACTTTTGAAATTTTATGATATCTTCAAATTTATTTTTTATTTAAAAAATAAAAACATTATTCTTTTCTCCAAACCACATAAGAACAGTATTATAACATCTATAGAGACGGAACGAAACATTAAAATCTAAATATATCTCGTTGTATTGCGCGAGTATTCTTCTTGTATATATGTATGTATATATTAACATCATGAAGAAATAGGAGTCCAAATCTTTTAAATAAGGGTAAAGTTGTCAATTGAGTAACCAAAAAATACAATAATTATGTATGTCTAAAACTGAGGCTCATTTCAATTGTGGAGACTTGTTTTCGAACGGAGGAGTAATAGCTTAAAAATTGATAAATAAAAGGGATATATTTTTTTAGTGTTTAATAGGACCCAAAAGAAATTTAGTATTATATTAAGGGCCCAAACATGAATTAATTAATTATATTGGACAAGAAATCAGGGGCGGATGCAATAGCAAAAAGGAGGGGGGAAGGGACTCCGTTCAAAAACTCAAAAAAGAAAAATCCTAGGTTAAAATTTAGGTTTTGCATGATTTACCTTTCACTTCCCCCCATTACATTTTTCCACGGGCCCCCAACTCCAATCGAAACCGTTACTCTAACCAAAAAAATCTATTGAAATCGATCAAAAAAAACCAAAAAAGATATTCGAAATCTACAAAAACACTAAAAAATCCTTCAAAATCAACCAAAAAACTTTAAAAATCCCTCGAAACGTTGTAATTAGGTTAAAAACACATCGGACGATTTTGCGGGCCTTTAGTCTACCTTAAATGTGACCCCATTAAACAAAAATTCTGGATCCGTCACTGCAAGAAATTATGTAAAAAAATTAATTGATCATTCATTTTATTGTATTGTTTATTGTTTTTGTAAACTTTTTATTTAAACCAAAGTCTAAAACTATTTTAGAAGACCTTTGGTATTTTCTGATTATTCTCCATCATTCATCTCTCATTAACTCTTTTGATTATTTTATTCGCATGAATTATATTATTGTATTAGAATATAGCAAATTTCTTGTTATTAACTAAAATTTCTACCTTTAGAAAAAGATTACCAACTATCGAGATAGTTCAATTTATATTCATATTTAAGATTTCATAAGCATCCCTTTTTCATACATTATTGACTCGTTATTACCTAGTATTGATTGCATGAATCTTTAGTACTCTCGTATCTCTAAAACAAAAATAAGATCTCAAGTTATAACCAACATGGGCTTCTGATACTAAGATTAATTGATGTTTTCAAAGAAGTTTGTTTTAACCCTAAAAGATTAAAATGATGATGAAAAACACTAACATGAGGTGATATGGAGGCCCAACTGATTTATATTGATTGACATATAGTGTTATACCCAATAGTTAACATTGTGACCCCAAATAATTTCAATCTATATATTAAAGGTATGTCAGATGATGTTTTTAACGGTGGGATAGCTTGACAATGCTAAGTAAAAATGACATGACAGATAATATTAATTTATAATTAATTATTAATTGATATTGCGTCTACAAATACTCATAAAAAAATGATTTTATATGATTTATTAATATTTCTTGAATTCAATGTTATTTCTGATGATAAAAACATTACATTGAAAAAAAATTCATACTTATCAACAGTCCTTTTTCACATCTCGTCCGGGATCTATAAAATGTCATAAATGGGTCTGACGGTGCTAGTTAGACGATGAATCTGTCCAAAGAACAAGAATGACAAGTCTTTTTTTTATTAACCTGGATATCCAAGTATCCAACCCGCTATGTGAGCCGATTAATCCCAGGACAACCACCTGCTTTGCAGATAGCCCGGAGTTACCGCATTTGAACCTCCATGGCCACAAGGGGATTTTTATTCCTCCTTGGATTTGAACCTGGGCCCTCCTGGTACTTTTGACCTTTGAAGCCAAGCTCAAACCAATCAACCACCACCTTTTGTGGTTAAGAATGACAAGTCTTATGACACACCATCATCACCAAATTACCATCTCACATAAACAGAAGGTCTTTTTGGTAGAAACAGGCTATATTTACAAAGTTGTTTTATCATGCATGTTTAGGTCATTTTAACAGATTCAAGTTTTTTGAGTTGCATGCAGTAATTAGGTCTCAGGTTCAGAAAATACCAAACCATATATGAGATATTCATACATACTCTTAAGTGAACCAGATTTCTTTAATCATCTTCAACAGGGACCCCGTCATCGTCAAGAGCGTTAACACGCTCACATTCATCAATCCATTCGCTATATCTGCAAGTTTTCAACATTTTGGCTCCGTCAAACCAGTCTAAGAAAAGAGGAAAAGACTGCTGCACTTACATGTCTATTGGCTCAGTCAAAGCTGCAAGAAAAGAAAAGAAAAGAAACGGTTAACAAGATATGGTTTTGATTCGGATAAAGAGAAACTTGTATTATGTTAGAGATGTTAATTATTCTGATTCTAACATGTCTGAACTTAAAGAAGTCAAAACTAACTTCCTTTCATTCTTCAATCTTCCATTTTGTAGGTCTTTAAGATAGAGCAAATGACACCCACTGTCACATTCATTCTTTTCCACAACAGAACCCACAAAAATGAAAATGCAGAATGCAAATTGAAATGAATCTATGTTGTGTTAACTTTGGCACCATAACAGTTTCAATCAGAGGAAATGATCAGCTTGTAAATGTGTCATGAAAACTCATGACTAGTCCAATAAACTTCTCTGCACTAAAAAGAAAGGAAAGCACAGATATATGTATATATATATATATATATGTATATATATATACACACACACACCTGTAATGGTAGTGCTGAAGTTCTCCTGACAAATCCTGCAAGATGCCTCACCAATCAAGTTCTTCATATCACTGAAATTAGACGAGCACCGATGATGAGCTTCTTTGAATGGACCCATGGTCGTAACATACAAAAACATAGAAGAAAAGTACATACAAATCAACTTTTTCTTACATAACCATTAGAGATCAGCTAAAAACTAAGCCAGAAAATGAGTAAGGATACAAGACTTTCAGGGGGGAAATTACACGAACAAAGCAGATAATAGACTTGGTAGAAGAAATACTTACATGCGACATTCAACACTTGTGCCATGGTTGCAGAAGGGACAGCTAAATACAGTGTCGAGTTTGTCCATCCGCTTCTTAGGAGGAGGCTTTGCTCTTGACTTCCTCTTCCCCATAGTTCAGGTGGCTTCCCTGAAAGCAAGACCATCATCACTAAATGGAATTGCATCCATATGACAGAAAGCATCAGTAATATAACTGAGACAGTTATGAAGCCTCTGAATAAAATCAAGAATTGATATAAACCATATACAAAAGGTTTCATACACAAATAGCAGCAAATCACATGCTTGATAGCAAAAAGCCCTTCCGTCTTGGGTTAAGGGTGACAGTACACATAAGTTTTATGATCAACTTCTATACATATATCTGTGAGATAAACTTTGATGGTAACCAATAAACTTATATCGCATAAAAACCGAACCTCGAGAATCACCGAAAGAAAAGCAAAATTGATCTTTGTATATTGAATGAAAAAACAATCTAGCGTTGTTTTCACAATGGAATGACAAATCCTGCAGCAAATCATTGATGATTATTGTGTTTAAGGAATCGAACTTACGAGGAGGGATCAAGAAAACCAATCCAACGTATCTTCAATCTGCAAAAAGAAAATATTAACAATAACAATAATGTTAAAGACAAACTAACCGCAATCGTCTCGAGCAATCAAGCAAAATCGAACGAAATTTGAACCTGATCGAATCAACTGGAGTTGAGGGACGAATAATTTTGCCCTAGAAACGCGAAAATTTGATATCGGAGAAACTTGATGAGAGAAAACGATGCGAAAATGTGATGATCATGGCGTTGGAATTGGGTAAAAGAATTGTTTCCGTTTATCCTCTGCATTAATTTTTTTTCCTTTTCTATGAACCCGTATGTTATGTTGTGGTATGAGTATTTGGTTGATAATTCGAAAATTGTTCATATAAACACGTGTTAGTTGTTAATAGAATTATCAATAAATAATATTTAAATAATTAAAAAAATATAATTAATAAAATTTTAATATAGATAGAGAGAGAGAGATTTGTTGAGAAATAAAATTGTAAAATGAGTAATAATAATGATGGGGTGTTGATAATTTATGCATTATTTATCTGATTGATGATGAAACAAATTTTCTTTTCTAAAAGATGATGGTGCTTTTGTTGATTTTTATTAAGAAGAGAGACATCCAGTTTTTCCAGATACTGAAGTTGTCTCTAATGAACCAATGAGGTTTGGTCAGGGAGTCATTATCGTGAAAGTTGGTGATAGTGTTTTGCAAATCCATTTTGAAAGGAATAAATTATCTAGAGAAGAAAAGATAATAGAAAAACTAATAAAACAACAATACAATACAAAAAACAAACATTGTTCTGATACCACTTCCTGGTCCTAATCGGATCTACAAGAGTTTATAATAACAGTTTGTAGAAAGGGGGATGAATACAAACACAATAACTATCACCATTAAAAATTATATATCTATAAAGAGGATCAATACAAATTTTATAAATTGTTTGCGGAAGAGATAGGATACATAACCTATCCAAACAATCTAATATACACACAAAATATAGATAGCAACAAGAAAAGATTTGCTACAAATAAATAAGGTAAGAAGAAATGTGTTTTTCACTTGTTAATGTGAGTCTTTCTCTTAGACATAGAGTAGAGAGAGAAGTAGCTTCTTGGGTAAGTATTAGAGTAAGGAAGATGATAACTGAGAGGAGAACCACTCAGCTATTCATACTCATTGCATTAAATTCAATTCAGAAGCTACAGGGCATGTGGCAAGCTTTTAGAGGAAAACTTGTCATTTGCTACAATATATAGTCTTTTTGGCTGTATATGAGCAGTCCTCTTTCATAAAGTAGGTAAGCACGCTTAGAGTCAAATAAGTGGCTCCGTACTATACTATACTTAGAAAGGTATGAGTTTGTCCTTTGTGTGTAGAAGGACAGGACGAAAACAATCTTGTTCGACAAGATTTATTTGATCGCTGAACACTAGAATGACGTTGAAAGGTCTCATCAGTGTTTGTTGAATCTTGCGCAGACTTTACACTTGTGTAGACGAGTTTGTTATCACTGAAAACCGCTTCAGATCACGAACTTGCTGGTCTCTAATCTTGAGCTTCTGCCTTCGACATCGTTGAAGAAACTGTGGTGTGAGTTTTGTCTTCTTGAAGTATATTGGTCTTCGAATGAATTACAATACATGTTCAACGATCACTGAATAGAGTCAGTGAAAATGGCTGAAAATGAATAACAAAAATAATACACTTTGATAGATAAAAGGATCATCATGAAATCATTGAGAAAGATGATCAACAATTTTTGATGAGAAGTTGTTGTTATCGCATCTTATGATGCGATGATCTTAAGTTATTGCATCTGTGTGATGAGAGAACTTGGGGTTGTTGCATCTTATTGATGTGATAAGTTATGGTTTTGATAAAGTGAGCAGTTGTTGAGGAACCAGAGGGGCTCTGGTTGGTCTTCATGTTTAACCAAAGAGCCTATGATTGTATTTGAAATCCAAATTCTTTTCAAGTGTTTAACCATTTCTTGTCCCAGAGGCTTTGGTTGGCCAGAGGGACTCTGGTTGGTAAGACAAGAAGGCCTCTGGTTGACCTTTACTTCTGGTTGGCCTTGTTGGCCTTACTTTTGGTTGGTCATGCTCTGGTTGGTAAGACCAGAGGGGCTCTGGTCTTTAAGAACCAAAAGAGCTTTGGTTGGTCTTGCTCTGTATGATGCAACAAGTTTTACACATACAGTTTTCTTTTTCAAGATATTGGGTATTTGAATAACTCTGAACTCAAGGTCTTCAGACTTCGTTTTCAGATTTGACACTTAGGTGCTCTTCGGGTCTTCTCTTGAAATAACTTTGAATAATGACTCTTCAGACTTGTTTTTCAGACCTCTGAAGATAAGTCTGCAGATTTAGACTTAGTCTTGTAAGCACATTTCAGATCTCTAAAGATAAGTTTGCAGCTTCCATACTTGGCTCAAATTGCTTTAATAAAACTTTCATGATATTTAGGAAAATTTTGGTCCTAACAGATAGTATTACAAATTTGGATTTATAAGCTTGATTTGGTGATTTTCACCATGTAATTGCATAAAGGGGATTTCTCACTAAACCTCAAGATCTAACCCTCATTTTGTGTTTAAAAAATGTGCATTACAGGTCGGGCCCCAATCAAAAAGCAAGGAGAGCAGGAAATTATGAAGTGTTGTATTATGCTTACTTGGAATTTTGGGGCTAGCATATATAATATTCTTTTGTATCTGAATGCTTGATATGTATTCATACGTTGTATAGTGACCTTGTGGAAAAAGTTGTTAGCCCTTTTGTAATATAGTTTTTGTATATTTGGGACTGAATGTTAAATTTGTATTTCTCGATATTTGAAATACATGGTTATATGCAAATGTGGATGTTGGGATGTTACACAACCAACACTTTTTTTTTTTTTTATCAAACTTAATGATTCATCATCTCATCCTTATATACCTTTAATGTTTTGTCAAACTTTTTTCAATCTGTCAATGTGAGATAATCAACTCAACATTATAATCAAATATTTGAGGAACTTTTTGAGAAAAAAAAATGGTGGCTAAATGTCAAATTTAACTCAAACTATTTGTGAATCTATTTTGTCTCTATCATTGTGGGATTTTCAACTTACAACTACTATCCAAGATTTGAGAATTGAGAAATTCTCAAATCTCATTCTACACATCATTTACACTTGGTTATATTTAACAAATAAATATATATATATATATATATATATATATTTTGCAAAAAATGATTGAGCTAAAATGATTCAACTCTATTAGTTTAATCAAAAGATTTTTTTAATCAAACCTAATTGTGCCACATCATTTACTTTTGGTTGTTCCTTTAATATATATATATATTGATATAACATATAACGCATTTTTAATCATCATGTAAATAAAAGTATATATATATATATATATATATATTGATGTAAATAAAAAAATTTGTTTGTATATTTTAATTTCAAATCCAAAGAGGAATAAAAATCCCCTTGTGGCCACGGAGGTTCAAATACGGTGACTTATTAAAGTACTGTTTATTGATGCATATTACTTAAAATTCAAGATTACAATTAAATTGTGCATATGTACAACTTATTAAAACTTTATGTTTGAATTCGTGTAACTAATTGCGGATAAACATAATCAAATAGAGGATAAACATCTCATTTTAAAATCTAAAAAATCTAAAATATAATTAGAATAATAATTTTTTTTATTAACCTGGATATCCAACCCGCTATGTGAGCCGACTAATTCTAGAGCGACCACCTGCTTTGTAGGTAGTCGGAGTCACCGTATTTGAACCTCCGTGGCCACAAGGGGACTTTTATTCCTCCTTGGATTTGAACCTGAGACCTCTTGGTACTTTTGACATTTAGAGCCAAGCTCAAACCAATCAGGCACCATCTTTGTGGTTAATTAATTATTGAGTTCTAACATAATACTTAATTATTATCTTTATAAAAAAATATATTATTAAACCTAAATTAAGTTACTTCGTTACGTTAAATTAAGTTATAATAAAAGTTTTGAATTAAAAAAATATACAAACAAGAACTTTTAAATAGTCAATCTGATACTAGCATTGATATATTTTTTTGCAAACTTTATATGATATTTTCAAATTTATATTTTATTAAAAAATAAAAACATTATCGCTTTCTCAAAACCACATAAAATCGTATTATATCGACATGGATAAAAAATAAAAGGAAACATTAAAATGGAAATGTGTCTCAATGCATTGCACGAGAACCCTTCTAGTATACACACACACATATACACTATAAAGATACTCGCGTAATGTAGCGAGATATATCTCGATTTTAATATTTCGTTGTATTCGTTATCATAGATGTTATAATATGGATTTTATGTGGTTTTGAGAAAGAGATAATATTTTTATTTTTGAATAAAATATAAATTTGAATATATCATAAAATTTCGTAAACAAATATATCAATATTAGTACCAAATTAGCTATTTCAAAAAAAAATTTTGTTTAATTTATTTATTTTAAATTTTTTATTATAATTTAATTTAAAATTAATAATGNATAATGAAATAATTTATTTTTGATTTAATAATATAATTTTTTATAAGAATAATAATTAAGTATTCTGTTAGAACCCAATAATTATCTTAGTTATATTTTAGATTTTTTATTTAAATTGAAATGTTTATCTTGTATTTGACTATGTTTATCTGTAATTAATTACACGAATTCAATCATGAACCTTTAATAAGTTGTACTTACGCACAATTTATTTGTAATTTTGAATGTTAAGTAATATGCATCAATAAACAGTATTTTATGTATAGTAATGGTTTTTAAGATTTTTTTTTGTTTAATGCTTTATATAGCTCCATTTTGAATTTGTGTAACTAACTACAGATATAACAACAATCAAATGTAAGATAAACATCTCATTTTATATATAAAAAATCTAAAATATAATTAGGATAATCATTAACATTTGAAAGAATTGTTAATTATTATCTTTATAAAAAAATATACTATTAAACCGGAAATAAATTACTTCATTATTAAATTATAATAAAAAATCAAATTAAAGAAATTACACAAAAAACGAAAACTTTTAAATACTTAATTTGATTCTAATATCGATATTTTTTTCAAGTTTTTATGAGATCTTCAAATTTATATTTTATTCAAACATAAGAACATTACCATTTTCTGAAAACCATACAAAACCATGTTATAACATTGACATAAACAAAGAATAAGAAGAAACATTAAAATCGAGATGTATCTCGTTGCATTACACGA